TTAAATTAATGATACGACAGTAAAATGGTATAAATAAATTAACCCTTAGTTGAGTGACGGGTCTTTCACGATCACGATTTAAAAACAACAGTTCTTCGTTACGAAATCCTATATAGATTTCCTATTTTGAGCAATCTTGTTAAAGTTCCCTCAACTGACTAAAAGCTTCTTCATTCTTTTACTGATGACTTTTAAGTACTTATATGCAATTGTTTACGACAGTTTCTGAGGAAGTGTTAAGACTATCAAAAAGATTAAAATTATTATCTGTAAATACTTAACGCATAGTATAAGTTCGATTGAAAATACACATTACGTAATTGTTTGAATCGACTTTGAGCTTGTTTCTTGACCTACCCCACGTATCAGTATTATGCATGAGCGCTAATTAAAAACAGTATTTACGTCGACATTTTATGATAATTCGAACAAATTGAATAAAGGAATTTATAGCAGATCGCAGCAATCCATTCCATTGTTATAATAAAAGTGAAACAGACAAATGCCTGCCTACAACCACTGTATGTATCGTTTGTTTATTATTAATGGCTTATTATTATTGAAACTGGCCTTGCATTTGTTTATCACGCCGTTTATAGCTGTCATGCGCCACTTGGGAAACAATAAAATTTATTAAAAATACGAAGCGCAGTTTGCATTCTGGAATTGCGAAACTGCATAATACATAAATGCCTAGCGAAAATTTATAAAATGTTTTATGTCGGATTTGTAATTAAAATCGGTCGTTAAGGTCTCCGCACGAAAACAACAGCCACGTTGCGATTAAATGTACCGATTGGGGGCCAAATTGGTTATTTATCTTCGGTCCAATCAGCCCATTTTACCTACTTATTGACTTTATTATTGGTTTCATGCAAGCATGTCCAAATATAGAACGGATACGAAAAGGCTAAACAAATTTTGTTTGCTGTTGGAATTACTGCTGTGTGTGTTCGCCATTCATAAACATGCCTACATACAGATATTTTTTGGAAACCATGTTTTTAATGCTTATACGAGGGTTGATCCCCTTGCTCCATCCGTCTCTGATCCAATTATAAATAGAAATAAATCTTCACATCATATTATCACCTGCTCTATACAGACTAATACTACAAAATTAATAGTCCGGACCTGTTAAATCCTGTCTTTAGTAGACTATCAAGTTTGGGAAAGATTCTTAACAATAGACCAGTCCTTTATTCATCATTGCAGTCTAGAGACCGAAATACAGAGCAAGGAATGGACCCATCGGGGCTCCCCACCGCCGATAATGCAACCATCACCAGCGATGGTTAACCGTGTTTTAGGATTCTGAAGGTGTGATTTTATGCAGAAAGAGGCCACAATTACAGGTGCTTATTATGTCAAATTAATTACGCCAATTAATAAAAGAAAAACGCCATGTTCTCTTGCATCAGAATAATGCACCCAATTAAACCTTTGCTATTGCAAAAGCTATAATAGCTAATGAGGGTCCGCCATATGCGCCAGATTTGACTCCTAGCGATTACCAATTGTTTAGAAAAGTTAAAAAATCCTTACAAGATAATCGATTTTCGTCAGATAAAGTGAGGATAAAGTGAGGGGGTAATTCAGTGGTTTTTAGAGACTGTGAAGAATATCAGTGGAGACGTTAGAAATGCTAGATAATCGATGGTTAAAAACTATTGACCTTAATGGACACTGTGTTAAAAACCAATGTAAAATATTTGTAAATTTGTTGTTGTAAATAGGTCAGGGGCAGAGCAAAAGGATCAACCCTTGTAATTATGGACGAGTTTCAACTCGCAATATCCTCAATCATCAATTGCTAACAGCAAATTAATTACAGTTTTTAAGTACTTCAGTCATGAATGAATCTTTAGGGCTTCAGGTGAGTTTTGCTTTTCTCGTTAGGTCCTGCTGAAAATGATCTTAGATGGTCCTAGAACGACCTGAGGTAGAGGGATTGTAGTCGGTAAGTCCGAGGACATTTTCCTCCGTAATCCGACATTACCCAGTCGTAATGGACGGCTGGATATCTTTTGGAAGATTTTCCTTCTTCCACGAAAACAAAAAGAAAATCCTATGGTCGTTAAAAGGTTTAATAGGTATATAGGGTACTGCGTTAGTCATGTCAATATTTTTTATAAGAAAAACTAATAAATTTTGTTATGGTTGTTTCAAAATCTTCCCGTAAATCTTACGTTTATAATCAAAGTGTGACGACTACGCTGCAGGATATCTAACATTAGTTACTATTGGTATCCCTGTTAACAGTTCCTACCTACTTCACGAAAATTTTCAAACCCATTTCAGTGAAGGCTAAAGTCTAGACGGAATTGTAAGTAGATTTAAATTAAAGAAAAAAAAATAATCGGTTATGTACGTTTGAGAAGTTAAACCATTGGCAAATGTTCACGGACGAATTTGAATGAGATTTTCTTTAAAATTAATTTTACGGTTTTGGGTTATTCATATACCCTGTCACACATACACACGAAATCAACAACATGATAAGTAATGGTCGTATTAAAATTAAATTTATGGTCTTTTCCGACAGCGGAGTGCAAACAATTTTTGTTTACCATATTGTTGCGCTGATTTGGCGATGAGGTTGAACGCATTAAATAAGGCAGGGTTTACACGCCCAGTGGTGAGCCGCACCAGAGGCAGAACCATGCGGAACTCTGCTAACCACACTCAACAAGACGTAGTCCTGATCTGTTCTTCCCGAAACATTTTTTGTTAAATATATCACAGGAAACGCACCATTCCATTGAATTTGAACCGAAAATGTTTACAACACGGTGAAGAACGTTCGTACAACTTGAATTTTTAATAAATTAATGTAAACAAGCATATGGAAATTACAATATACTTGAAAATTCATTAATTTTCTACATCAAACTGTAAATACTATAATTCAATTCAGTTATTCAGTCACTGTTTCTTTATCAACATTAGGTAACTACCATTTAACATACTGCGACGCGCTGATGAGATCCAATAAGATTGAAATCGCTATCCGCGTCTGGCAGCTCCAACAGAACACAGAGCAACTTATACCTGCTGTCTTAATATTTAAATGAACCTTGTTGGAGCATACGTAACCCTAAAATGTAGCATCGTACTACAGATGGCGTTTACCGCGCCATTTGCGGTATTTTCTAAAACGCGCTGTTAAGGCAGAAGGTAAAAGTTGCTTTGTGTTCTGTCGCGGAGCTGTTTGCGACACGCTGATGAGATCCAAAAAGATCGAAATCGCTATCCGCGTCTGGCAGCTCCGACAGAACACAGACCAACTTTTACCTGCTGTCTTAATAATTAATGGACCTTGTTGGAGCATACGTAACCCTAAAATGTAGCATCGTACTACAGATGGCGTTTACCGCGCCATTTGCGGTATTTTCTAAAACGCGCTGTTAAGGCAGAAGGTAAAAGTTGCTTTGTGTTCTGTCGCGGAGCTGTTTGCGACACGCTGATGAGATCCAAAAAGATCGAAATCGCGATCCGCGTCTGGCAGTTTCGACAGAATACAGACCACTTCGAATTATTTTATTCGATTATGGTAACATGCCTATCACGTTGAGGTTAGCTACGCCAGGATTCGTTTCAGCAAGTAGATATCCATATATTTGAATGGACTTTGTTGGAGCATACGTAATCCTAAAATGTAGCATCGTACTACAGATGGCGTTTACCGCGCCATTTGTGGTATTTTCTAAAACGCGCTGTTAAGACAGCAGGTAAAAGTTGGTCTGTGCTCTGTCGGAGTTGCCTGCGACACGCTGATGAGATCCAAAAAGATCGAAATTGCGATCCGCGTCTGACAGTTTAGACAGAATACAGACACTTCGAATTATTTTATTCGATTTAACACACTGCTAATGCAGAAGCCTTTTAGTGTTCTCGTTGGTTCGACATTTTTAAAATGCATTTTGTGAGGAGCACATAGCTGCTGTACGTAGGTCGTGTAATCGGACCTTTGCACTGCATGAAAGCATTAAACATTTTACCATTAACCTAACCAATCGAAAAGACCTTCAAACTGCATTTAGAGTGCAACACAGTGGGGTAGGTCAAAATAAGGTGATTTCCAGTACATACTAAATCGAGCACGAATCATTTATCACTATTGTTTGAAAGTTAAATTGCATTAGCCATTAACATAACAAGTTATTAAATTTGCATGTTTTCCATTGCAGGCACATTTCTCTGACACGGATTGTTTGGCAATTACGATCGTGGTGTCACATTATTTTAAAAAAAAGGAGTTACGTAATAATTGAATAATTAAACAATTTTTAATACATGTATTTACGCGATTATACAAAAAGAACTTTGACAAATTGTTGAAACGAAATTTTATATGCGAGACCGCAAGATGCTATTGAGTTCTAGAGTATTTCTGTATTTCTGTAAGACTGTTTGTGCTATTCTATTAACCATTTTAGAAGAAAATAAGAAGCGCAACAAACAAACACTGATTTACACTGTAAAGAGCTGGCATATGACTAGTTAACGAAATATTCACCTTTTATGTTAGGGTTGACGCCCACGTTGCGATAAATATTCCGCTTTTTTTCATTATATGTTCATATAAAATATTTAATTTTCTGTATAATTTACAAAATAACCCATTCATTTTTAATTGTGTATTGAATAAGCGAATTTTATATTTAATTCATCCACAATGATGCTAATAATATTAGCCCACCACTTCAATTGTGGTTGGGGCGTTGGGGCAACCATCAGGATGAATGAACAATAAGCATTTAATTAATAATTTTAGTTAATTAATGAAGGTTCAATTTCTTTTAGTGTTATAAAATAAAAATGCGGAGGTTTTCTAGTGGTTACAAATTATTCATTTTTATATTAGTGCGACGAGTTCATTTCCCAAGTTTGAGACAAAATTAAGTGTGGACGTCATGTAGGATACAGTATTGAGTTAAGAACATAAAATACATTTCAATACATACGAATTCAAAGCAACAAATCAAAAGTTTACTTACGTCTTCCACTCGCGTTGTGGAAGAGGACGAAATGTTGTACCCTGAATTTGATAATCATCAGGGTCTGAAGTCTCTAGAAAAAAAAGTAGGTATATGTATAATAATCTATAAAAAATTATTGGTTATTGTGTAATAATTTTCTGTTTAAAAAGTGTAACACATTAAAAGTAGTAGTTAATTATAAATAAAACAAAATCAGTCAAAAGTGCGGGTCGAGCCGGCCCAGAAAAGGAGCATGTTTGGAGCTCGGTGCTGAAGGGATGCGAAACATGCACGGTGGGTGTTGCGGAAAAGAAAAGGTTAGAAGTGTTCGAAATGTGATGTTACAGTCTAATGATAAGGATACCGTGGATAGAGAAGGTAAGAAATGAAGAGGCATTAGAAAGAATAGGAGAACAGAGGACTCTATGGAAGTCAATGACAAATAGGCGAGGTAGGTTCCCGTAGGAAAAATTTCCATTGAAGTTCAATGGGAATCAATGGAAAATCAATGAATATTATTAAATGGTCTCAAAACTTTGCCCATCCGCTATTTCCAAGTCATAAACCCGCTGATTATATTATTCTTACGAATAGTATTAGGGTAATTCGTTTATTATAACCATTAGTGTCCACATACTATACTAGTCGTTTTCGATACAGTTTTTGCTTGCCCAGTTGCAAGAGTAGTGATATTGCCAATTAGGTGGTGGAAAATCAATAATCTGGTTTTACCTATGCGTGCATTTGGGGTACGTGAGGGACCACCACGGTAGTAGAGTGAGAGACAAGCAAGATAGTAAGACGTTTGATTAAAACTGTATATATCATTTAGACGTTGAGCATTTTTGCTCAAAAAAGACGGAATACGTACTTATGGCGATTACACGAAGACGTATGTATTTTGGAAGACGCGATACACTGAATATTGTATATAAGTTGTATATATTTAATTCCTGTTTGTTACTCGTTTTGCTGTTTGCTGTTTATATATTTATTATTATGTTTATTATATATATATTCAACTACCCGGAGCCTTTTATTACCTAAACAACCCCTAGACAAGTGAAAAAGCCTACATTAGAAGCATTGTTTGATGATTTTGAACCATGCCAGAATATAGAGGAGACCGAAGTCATCTGTGAGAGTGATGTGGTTTTATCAGAAGCAAATGAAAAAAAAAAATCTAACAATGATGAAGAGCCAGACATCCAGGCACGTGCCTTGGTTCAGGTACCTGAAGAACCAAATTCTCAACAAAATAATATGGATTATGGAAAAAAGCATGCTGATGAAGTTCCAATGGAACGCAATGGGATTTCCATTGAGTCCAGCAATGGAATTTCCATTGCGTTCAGCAGTAGGACACCTTCTCAGGCATGTAGGTCTAGTCAAAGATATATTAGAGGCAGAAACAGCAATTAGGAGGGGTAGAGACCTAGATTAGATTACTGTTGTCATATAGTTAAGGATATGGGTTGTTTTAGGGAAATTTAGCTCAGGATAGGAAAGAGCGGAGTTTCGTGTTCAATCAGTCTTAGAACTTATGATGATAATGATGATGATGATAGGTTGATAGGATCCCTTCCCAAGCATGAAGGTCTAGTCAGAGACATATTAGTGGTAGGAACGGGTGTTAGGAGGGGTAGAGGTAGACCTAGATTACATTACTGTTCGGAAATAGTTAAGGATAAGGGTTGTTCTAGTTTTAGGGAAATGCGAGAAAATTAGCTCAGGATAGGAAAGAGTGGAGGTGCAAATCCAACCAGTCTGCAAGGCAGTACGAAAGAAAACATGCGTTCATGTCGTTGAATAATTGATCTCCACTTAATCACTCAATGTTACTGTAATAGATGTTATTACAACACCTTATTTATGTATCTACCTGTTGAACGAACTACACGCCTCTCCTCTTATCCTAAACATTTCTCAGGTTGTTTTCAATAAAAAATTGCACTTTACAACATTGTGCCAGTGATAAAGCGTACAATAATTGTTCATAAGTTGTGCTAGAGAAGTCAGCGTGGCCTTCTGTTAAATAGAAAAGAAAAAAATAATCGGGGCGTTGGCGTTGATTTATTAAACATCTCCCATGAAGACGAGAAAGAAAGAACTTCAAAATGCTATTATTATTGCACAATACGTATAAAACGAGAATTCAAATACACGCATACAAACAGTTATCTTATACTCACGGATCCAGCAAATACATCCATAACGTGGCTGGTGGAATAAGTGTAGGTACATGTTTGAACATATGTGTGCAACTGCTTTTCCATTTGAATTATTAATCACTTATGTAATTCGAAATTGTGTAATTGTGAATATTAATGGCTGTCGTCGTATGTTTAATTAATGTGATAGATACTTTAATAGGCAGCGTGTTTGTTATCATCAGAATCAGAAAGATTGTTAAAAGAAGATGTCATAATATACAATGTAACGGAATCATATTTTCTTTAACAGCGCAAGATGGGTGACGGATGATACAATGTATCATTAAACAGGGACAAGTAAGCATTTTTGAAGTATTATGTATCAATTTTGAATCCAGATCAGTTCAAGTTTTCCTTTGATACTGAGGTTTAAACCCATTAAGTTAACAAGTTACTTTATATTATAAGGTTTTGTATCCAAAGAATTTAACAGATTCCTATTGTGTAAACAATTTGGTTATTTTTTTGAATTTATTATCTCCTTATACCTATCTAGATTTCTATACATTGATAAAAATGAGTTAGCCTCTTAAAATTTGAGTTCGACATGAATTTTTGAGTCGCTTAACCATTTGCTGCAACCCCGAACATCGTTTAAAACCATTTATCAAACTAAGCAATAAGTTTAAGAGAACCTAATTCTATTAAATCTTGGTTGGAACTTGGCACTTGTTAAGATCTCAACCTTCTACCATTAGAAAGCAGACAATGAATTTGGCATCATTCTTCAAGCCAAGCAATAAATTTAATATTAGAGAACGTAATTCGATTACATTTTAGGTGGAACTTGGCACCTGTTGAGAGCTCAACTTTTTATCACCAAAAAGCCTACAACCGCGATCATCATGTATACAGAACTTGTCGTCATTTTTCAAGCCAAGCTGTAAATTCAATATAAGAGAGCATAATTCTATTACGTTGTGGGTGGAATTTGGTACCTGTTGAGATCTTAGCTTTTTTATAATCAGAAAGCCGACAATCCCAATCATCATGTGTACTGAACTTATAACCATTTTTTAATCCAAGCTATAAATTTAATATAAGAGAGCACAATTCTATTACATTGTGGTTGGAACATGGCACTTGCTGAGATCTCAGCTGTTTTATCATCACAAAGCCGACAACCCAAACATTAGGTGCACTCAACTTGACACCAATTTTTCAAGCCAAGCTATAAATTCAATATAAGAGAGCATAATTCTATTACATTGCGGGTACAACTTGGCATCTGTTGAGAGCTCAACTTTTTTATCATCAAAAAGCCGACAGCCCTGATCATCATGTGTACTGAATTTGACGCCACTTTTTAAGCCAAGCTTAAAGTCAATATAAGAGAGCAAATTCTATTACATTGTGGGTGGAACTTGGCACCTGTTGAGGTCTCAACCTTTTTATCATCAGAAAGCCGACAATCCCAATCATTATCTGTACTGAACTTGATACCATTTTTCAAGCCAAGCTATAAATAAGAGTGCACAATTCTATTACATTGTGGGTAGAACTTGGCATCTGTTGCGATCTCAACTTTTTTATCATCAAAAAGCTGACAGCCCTGATCATCATGTGTACTAAATTTGACACCACTTTTTAAGCCAAGCATTAATTCAATATAAGAGAGCACAATTCTATTACATTGTGGGTGGAATATGGCACCTGTTGAGATCTCAACTTTTTTATTATCAGAAAGCCGACAATCCCAATCATCAACTGTACTGTACCTGACACATTTTTCAAGCCAAGCTTAAATTCAATACAAGAGAGCACAATTCTATTACATTGTGGGTGGAACTTGGCACCTGTTAAATTTTCAACTTTTTTATCATCAGAAACCGTTTTTCAGGCCAAGCTGTAAATTCTAAATCAAGGAGAGTAATTCAATTGCACCTACTATGGAACTTGGCACCCATTCAGACTTCAATTCAGTTATAGACAAATGCGAAACACTAAACGTCCTTTGTACAGAAATTTTGGTCTCATTTTGTACATTTATATTTCTCATTAAATTGATCCTACATAGTTACACGTTTGACCCGTTATGATTTCCTTTTCGAAAAAAAAAAAGACTGCGAAATTAAACCACTTTACGTATAATAATTTAGGTTATATTAGCATAATCGCTCAATAATATCTAATGAATGGACCCCGTTTAAATACGTATATTTATTTAATTAGTCCTAAATCGGTACGCACAGATAAATAGCGAAAATTTAACCTTTCGTCATGAATTATTACGTTTTAACTTAATTTGCTGGCATTAACAGTAAACCGACTCGGCTGGGTCACGTACAGAATGGTATATATGAGTGAGTAAGTAACATTTTGCTAACAGAAGCCTTGACTGGTAGTTTAACACCACGAACACAAAAAATAAGGAAGCAATAAATGAAGACGATATAACACACTAAGTGACATATTTATGGTCGACTTGAATGTGCGCCGTCTCGCACAAATTAATTAATACGGCAACTCTCCTCTGATGGTATTAAAGATAAACTGACTGTAGATACAGGATGACCCAAAAAGTACGCAATATGCTCATTGTACCGGAAGTTTAAGTTTAATCGAAATAATTTTCAAACAAAACTTGTATCCCATTTTAATACAAGATAGTCTATAGCAGGGGGGGGGGGGCAACCTGCAGCTCGTGAGCCACATGCGCCTCTTTGAAAGATTATTTGTGGCTCTCGATAAATGTACCCGAGTTCTCTTTCATTTTTGTGCGAAAAACTCAACCAGTATATAAAAAAACTAGAAGAAATATTGACGGAAGATAAGAAAGCAAGTTTTTGCATGTTCTCATGTTTTAGCATTGTGAACAACTTTTCCCTATAACTTCCTTCGATTTGACCCATATTTAATTGCGCTGCCAGCGCAACTT